CATCCCTTCGATCGCAAATAATTATACTATGCAAAATATGTCGTAGGAATGGACAAATTAGTATGGATATGACCTTTACGAACAAAGCGATGCAGCCTATGGGAGGATTCGCGATACAGCTCAATAAAAATAGCTTTGGTTTAACGCCGGCAGCCCCGTTGCAAGTTCCAGCTCCCCTGAGTCCCGGATCGAGTATAGAAGCGAATATGACACTGTCCACTGCGGGTGCAGTGCAACGTATGGAGCCTTTGAACAATCTGCAAGTTGCTATCAAGAACAATATTGATGTTTTCTACTTCGCGTGTATTGTACCTATGAATGTATACTTTGCGGAAGATGGACAGTTGGACAAGAGAGTATTTCTTTCTACCTGGAAAGATATACCTGCACAGAATGAGGTATTATTCGTCTTGTTTTTTCTGTTTGTCGAAAAAATGGCTTGTATGCTGTAAGATCTATTAATAAACGGAAAAAAAAGATTCTTTAAGAAATATATTTCGTTTACAGGTGCAATATACGCTAAATGGTGTAATGTTGACCGCGGATCAAGTGGTGCAAAAAATGCAACAGAATAATGTCTTCACAATTGCGAAGAGGAATGTGGAAGGACAGGATATGCTTTATCAGTCTCTTAAATTGACAAACAATGTCTGGGTATTGAACGAGTTGAAAATTCAGCCGGGCAATCCCGATGTTACGGTACGCTTAATATAATAAGTATCATATTTAAATCTTACCAACATGATTACCATCGGAAATTAGCTGTTAGTTTAGATTCTTAGATCGAATTTAATTTTATCTTGACTTAGTGTACATTTTTTAACAGCTGCTTGTCACAAAGATGATTATATAAAAGAATTGTTATATAGGATACTTTATACATTTTATATTTACCTCAAATTTTATCAATCTTTTTTTTATTGCAGCTATCCTTGAAATCTCGGTCCGTAGAAGTTGCTCCTGGAGTATTTCAATCATACAATGCGATTTTACATTCTTAAGTTTTCTTTCTTTCGTCAATTAGGATATTGCTGTAAAATGCAAACTATTTAAAAAAATTAAATGCGAACATGCGCAGCAGATTATTTATAGAAGCTATCTATGTACATCCGCATGAAACTCGAGTGCATCTTGAAATACAGGAAGTTATAGATTGAATTTATTATAAAAACGATCATGGGCGTGTATGAAAATAAAGATTTATGATTACATCTATGTTCTTATTTTTGCAATTTTTTATACTTTTATATGTAAAACATATAGCATGTACATGATCAATATTATTGTACAATATTTGACATGTTATACAATACTATTGATTGGAAACTATATTAAGCCTTCAGATTATTTTGAATTATTTAACGAGGACATAAATAATATTAATTCTTATTGGATCACTAAATTTCAAACTAAATAATGAGAATGCTACAGCTGGATCACGGGTGCTTCTAAATAATTGCATGTGAATTTATATACTACAAATGTAATTCTTGCACGCTGAAAATTTTTTTTAGATTAAGTGCAATACTAATAAACTACCGCAGTAATATCGCGAGTTAAATTGACTAACAATTTAATCATTATTGATGCTGTTTACGCATCTTATATATTGATCTTACAAATATTGAATAATCTATTAAAAACTACTGTAAATAATTAATTTTTCACTGCGAAAAACTGCCTCTGTAGTCTAAAGGCTTAGGACTCTCACACGGAATATCAGAGATCCGGGTTCGATTCCCGGCTGAGGTGTTTTTCGCAGTGGAAAATTAATTATTTACAGTTTTTAATAAGTTAAGTCAGCGGCACACGGTGCTTGTTTTCCTGCTGGATTAGAATCTTGCCACCGTATTGGCTGCGGTGTTGAAAGTGCCAGTATCGTGGCCAATCCGATGGCAAGAATCTGATCTAGCTAGCAATCCAGCAGGAAAACAAGCACCGTGTGCCGCTGGCTTTATTCAACATTATCAAGATCGATATAAGATGCGCAAATAGCATCAATAATCGTTAAATTGTTAGTCAATTGAAATTACCGCGGTAATTTATTAGTAATGCGTTTCAAGTCTGAAAAAATTTTTCGACGCGCAATCGAAGAATTACATTCGTAATATATAAATTCACACACAATTATTTAGAAGCACCCGTGATCCAGCTTAGACCGCTGTGGCATTGTTTCATTTAGTATAAATAATATGTATAAAATAATTATACAATATTGAGTGTTTATAATTGCCATTATGCAAGTGGCAATAAGATGTAATATATACTCGGCAGATTAGTATAAAAATTAATTACAGTTTTTGTCAACAAAATTAAGAAAAAACAAAGGACTCTTTCTTTATATAAAATAATAAACATAAAAATGGCATTGTAAGAATTATATTAATAAGAATAATAATTTAAACAGCAAATTTAAATCATACATTTTAACTTGAATTATTGAAACAACGCTTAAAATTAACTTTTAATACAACGACAATGATGTATGACATTATATTACATTATATTAATTAGTTTCGACCACATATTTAGGTCCTCTTCAGAATAGACATTAATTAAAAATATCGCCACAAGATTAAGAGAGATTTATAGAATTGTTATATAAATCTAAAGAGAGATTTTTTTGTCTCAACTAAAAAATGCTGGTTCATCCACGTATCTATGCATGTACAGTAATAGTCAATAAAAAAATTGGATGTCAAAAAACCAATAAAAAGATGTCACAAAAATAAAAATAAAACTGTCGTAATGCATCGTATAATCGATTATATACAGATACGACTGACTTCCGCTACAGATCAACACATACTCAATACCATTTTTATGTTTATTAGTTTTTGTCAAATTTATGAAAATATTCATGATAAAATTTTTATAAAACACACATGTTCAATTTTGAATATTTCATAAAACTTTGGCTTCAAATATATTTCTGTTCATAATATTTTCAAATATATCTAATTATAAAATTATTTTAAATACGCCAAAAAAATATAATATACATTCTAAGATATATAATTGAATTTACATTCTTAAAAGAATTCTTCTTTCTTGTTATTGTTTAACAATTGTACGGTCGTAAAAATGAGATTCTATTATTTCTTAAAAGAAGTTCAATTTTAATTCAGGAATACTTATACAATGTATCACACTTTGTATTTATCTCAATTAATTTTATTCAAAATAATTTAATTTTCAATATTCAAATAAAGCTCCTATTTCTAGAACTGTTAACATTTTCAATTACATATTATTGTTGTGTAGCTTTTATTTATTTTATACATGGCTAAAAAAATCATGTAATAATACCTATATGAAATAATACATACAATTATATAATTATAGTTTATTAATACAATTTGTGATTTAAAAAATCAATTTTAAGTTTTTAAAAAAGTCTGTAAATCTTGCATTTACTACACTACTACAGCATATCCTGTATATTATACAGGTAGGTAATGTCTCTGAAATAATACTATAATATATAATGTGATTGTGTTTATTTATCGAATATAAAGAGAAGAATCAAATACATATCGGATAAGATTAACACTGGACTTTTCTTCTAAAAGAGCATCCCTCAGTTAATCGTGCTTTTCCGCCTGTTGGTGTACAAAGTATTGTACGGCATCCGTCACATTCTACTGGCCTCTGGGCATGTGAGAAAATTGTTTTGATGGCATAGCAGCCTGGGCATTTGACATCCATGAAATAACTGTTAGGCTTCTGTACAAGCCTCTTCAACTTATGTTTCCTTTTTTCCTCGATGGGACTCGGATGGAGAAAATCTCTGGCTAGCGGCATTCTGTAAGATGGATCTCTAGTCATTAAAAATTTGTATAATCAGAAAATAGATTTATTTTTTATTGCAAAATAATGTAAAAAATACAGAGGATGAGCCTTGAACACAGTCATCCAGTGCTACACGGTACATCCGCTTGTATGAGATTAGAGTAGAACATGAATGTCATAAAGCTTAGCTCAATCTAATATCACACATATAACATGGAACGACAATTTGTAATGTCTTGTATATAGATTTTATAAATCTTTCTGTCAAACAACACACTTTCTCACATGTACTGTAAATACAATTTATTCTATTGCAAGTAAAAATTGATATACACAATATTGTGCAATCTTGTGCGATACAAGGTATGACAATAACATTAGAATTACTTAAGGAAAAATTACAAATATAAAGTGAGTTCGACTTGTCGAATGCTTTCCCGATACGAATACGACAATCAGAAACGTTAATTAATAATTACCGGATAATTTGTACAGTAATGGGCGATACCGCAACGGGCAAAAGCGTAGTAGCATGCCGCTCACGATACAAGCGTGAAAACTTGTTTCCAGATTGACTGGACTCACCACAACACAGACAAACGGAATTCACGCAACAGTGAATGAAATGGTGCAAATACTTACATGATTCGCAGAGTATTTCGCTTTAAATTCGATTATTACAATCGTAACCACGTGTTTACAGGAACGTTACGCACTGGAAAGGAACAGTATGGGATTTGAGATTTGACACGAAACATTTAAAACCCCAGATTCAGACCAGAAGAGTCCGCCATGGTCCGCCAGTATCGCCAACTTTTGCTCATAATTGAGTATAAATTTTGTTGATTGGTCGATTGGACTAAATAAATCTGGACAAGTCATGGGAGCTTTTCGTGCAAAGTAAAGACATGACGTGCGCATCTTATACAAATTTAATCCTTGATGTTATCATCTATGGCATGCAAAGTATATTTTTAAAAATAAAAAATATTGAATTTTTTTTAATTTCTGACGAAATTAAAGACGTCTTGTAAGTTTAACAAATTTTTTCAATAAGTTTCTGCCTTTTATTAGTAACATTTTAATTTTCTTGTGAAAGATTGAAGCAAAAGAGGTTTTTCTTTGAAGGAAAATATATTTGCAGAGATACACCATTCAACAGAGATATATGCATACACGTGTATTTGAAAAAAAAGATAATAATTTTTAACTAAACAAAATATGTCTTCTGTTGAGACGCTGAAGAAGAAGAAAGTACTTATGATTTGTTTAGGTATTATCGAGATACATATTACATTAGGGATAAAATGTTTTATATTTTTTAATTTTATAAATATATATGTGTCTAGATATTTTCTAATAAATACAATAAAACAATATAATAAGCTATACTTGTGTTATTAATTAATGATTATTTATATTTTATGCTACAGGCAACATTTGTCGTTCGCCGATAGCAGAAGCTGTATTCCAGAATGAAGTAAACAAGAGAGGTTTGCAAGATTATTGGAAGGTAGAAAGTGCTGCCATTATAGGATTCCATGTAGGTAAAAAACCAGATAATAGGGCTCTGGATACACTAATGAAAAATGGGATTACTGATTATTCCCATAAAGCACGCCAAGTAAGATTTCATATTTTCAAACATTAAAATTTTATAATATTACAATTGCTGTAATAGCAATTTAGATTGAGTTTTCTATGCACTGACTAGTTGTGATCAATTTTTTATTGTTAAAAAATAAAATAGTATAAATCATTGTAATTAAATGAATTATTTAATATTTATTTAGAATTATTAATTCGAATTAATAATATTATACTGTATTACTATATTATATTCTATTCTAAATATCTTACATATGTAGATCGAATTATCCGACTTCTACATATATGATTGGATATTTGGTATGGATCAAGAGAATATTAAAGATTTAATCAATAGAAGACCAAATCTTGATTGCCGAGCAAAAGTGGAGCTCCTAGGAAGTTATAATCCAAGTGAAACAATTATAATACGAGATCCATATTATGTAAGTTATCTTTTATTTTTAGCATTTATAGAATTAGGAAATACAAATTTTGGAGATACATTAAATTATTCTAATGACCTTCTTATATACAGGATAGTGGTAGTGCAGGATTTCAAAAAGCCTATGATCAATGTGTAACATGCATAACAGCGTTTTTGGACAAACATTCAAATTAATAAGACTTAAATTCTAAAGAATCAATTTACCTATATATTTTTAGAAGAATATGTTCTAAACTAATAGGTATAAAATTTTTTAATATTGAATTTATTATAAAATAGATTTCCAAAGAGGATCTCCATATTTAATACAGAGAAATAAATATTGATAACACTATTTGTAAGATTGTAAACCTATTGATATCTTTATTTTATAACAATCGTTAAGATATGTTATAGTAATATATTTTATGTTAATCAAGATGTAGTACAATGCAGTAATCGATAATGACAATATATATTTTTTCTTATTCCAAGATGCTTTTAATTTTTATTTTCACAGCAATAATTATATTTGAAAAATTATATTGTATATAAGAGTAATAAAATTTCATTTATTTAATTTTGAATTATTTATTTTTTATTTTCAGCAATAAATATTTCAGGAACAAAGCATTGAATGAATCTTCTGAAAGCGTTATTCATTAATATTTCTAAAATCTAATGAAGACTTAAGCTTCTTTTAATTTAATCACATGCTTAAAACATAATTTGCAAATATATTTTCACAAAGGACTTATCTTATTTCATCAAGCTGCAGTGATATATGTAGTATATATATTGTTTGTGACTTTTTCGAGCGGTCCCAGGATACTCTCAGAGTATAATTTTTTTATAATTTTCGTTCCCATGTGATGCTATTTCCCACTCATTTGTAGCCTTGCAGTATGCTACATATGGAAGATAAATGGAAATGATTATAATCTCTTGTCTACACCATCACTCGCCAGTGCAACAGTCAGGCAGTGTACTGTTGATGGTAAGTGTATTGTTGGTGGTAAATAAACTCATTCAGTGTAACATGTTTCCGTGGCGATAATGTAGTTCAAATTTTAGTGTACGAAGTGGGATTTTGCTGTCTCAAAGGGACAATGTAGAGCCAACATGACATTTAAAATTTGAAATTAAAAGTCAATCAGAAGCAGGATTTTAGCGCAATGATGAAATAGTGTATCATTGTGTGCACCACTCCAACGTAATGTAGCCAAATGTAGCGCTTACACGCTTATGCGATATAAGACTACACTTAGTGTATCCCAAGGGAAATCGCTATTAGTAAGCACATTGCTTGAGTTGGAGCATTTGAACAGTGCTGTAAACGGGCGCGAAATGACATCAGTAATGGTCAGACCTAATCAGACCGTGCAACGCGAGAAAGACAGTGGTTCTTTTTAGTATGATCTCCACCATTGTGCGACCAGGCGTTTCACACGAAAACGTTTTTCTCATCGTTTAAATGGCAATAATGTAGTTTTTTCACGAATTTTCAGTGCAGTTTTACTTTTTACTATTTTCTTACCTACTAACAAGAAATCAATATGATGCGAAAGAAGAGAGTTCTCATGGTTTGTTTAGGTATTTTAACTTTCTTATTTTTAATTATAAACTGAATTTGTAGAATTGTCACGCTTGTTTTAAAATATAGAATATGGAAATTAAGGGTATGTTTGGAGAGACGTATATCCTTAATATTATCCATTTATATTAATGTGCTTTGCATCATTTTAACTTTGTTTTATATCTACGATGAAGATAGAATGACACAATTAGCTAATAGCGTTTCCCTAAACACGTCCTAAGTAATTACATTATCCCAAGAGTTTTATTTTTTGTAGAAAAAAAATACAATTAATTGAAATAAAAATTACAACTACATGTATTGGCTGCATTCCGTTATTCGCTGCAAATACTAAAAATCTATATTGTATATAGCTTTTCAATACTTGCATTGAATAATGGAACGCACATTGAATTATTGTAACACATACGAGTGATGAATAATTTTTGTAGCGAGAGGCTCTGAGTTATTTCACGTAAGGTTACAGTTTTCTATTTTTAATATGAGTTACGTAATTAAATGCATGCAATGTATATATAACTCACCAAACTAAAGTACAGCGGACGTCTTATCTATTTCTTACAATCAATTCACATGCATTTTGAAGCATTTTCAACTAAACTATAGAATTTCAATATTTTATTTTAAATTAACATTTTAATTTTTTAATGCAGGTAATAGTTGCCGCTCTCCAATGGCGGAAGCAGTATTTCAGAATCAAATCCAAAAAATGGATTTAACAGATTTCTGGGAGGTCGAAAGCGCCGCCCTTCTGGAATATCATGTAGGTAATGATCCTGAACCTAGGGCGATAGCCACACTTCAGAAAGCAGGAATTACAGATTATTCTCACATCGCAAGAAAAGTAAGAGTTAAAGCTTAATAAATAGTTGAAAAGTAAAGAATTAACAGATTTCAAAATAAGTTGAAATTTGTTATTATCAATTTCTATTGCCAATGCTTTTTAATTGTCTCAAATTTCACAATTTAATTTGATTCTCCCTTTTGTGTTTGTCTATCAGTTTTACAAGATTGTTGGACAAAAATATTTTCTACAGCAATATCCCAGATAGCCAAGCAAGATTTAGCATATGGGACAAATTGATGCACTGCGTGTATTGTTTTCAACTTGTGGACAATTTGCTGTCATTGAAATCTAATTGAAACTGAGTTAGCATCAGGAGGGCAAATAGACTTCATGAGTTTATGAAATTGTAAGAGTATATATTGAGAAATAATAAACTCGTCACGTCGACAGCAAACTGACAGCACACCTTGAACGTAGTGAGCATTCATGATGACAACTTGCCAACAGATTGCTGAATTCTAAGGAAAACTTTACATAACGTCAGGACAACAGACAGTTTGTGGAAACACCTTGGCTTTAGTTTGGTGAAATTCAATGCGAAATAAGTGACAGCAAATTGGCAACATATTGTCCTCATTTGGCTATCTGGGATGTAGATATACAAAGATTTGAGACAGAATATTTATTAATCATATTAGGAATTAATAAATAATTATATTAGAAATAATTTACAGATTACGACCGATGATTTTTACAAATTCGATTGGATATTTGGAATGGACGAATATATTATTCACTTATTGTACGACAAGCAACCGAAAGATAGCCAAGCAAAGATAGAACTACTTGGGAGATACGATCCAGCCGGAATAATTGTCATAAGAGATCCTCTCTTTGTATGTATTACGCAAGAGACTTTGGTTGTATTTGATTCCGATAAATTTCATTCTATCTTTTTTACTCATTACTTGTAGAAGGAAGATTAAATAAAGCTTACAGCTCTTGAACGAAACCGAAAAAAATACATCTTTCATAAAAGTAATTTTAACGAGACAGACAATACATATATTGTTCTGCTCTAAAATTCATCAGTATAATTAATGAAGTTTGTTTGTTTGTTGACAGGATGTTGATAGTGCCGGATTTGAAAAAGCATTTCAGCAAGCTTTAAGAAGCGTATGCGCATTTTTGGAAATTCACAAAGTATTCTTCATTTTTTTTCTTTTTAATATTTATATACATATATATGTATCTTTTTTTTTTAAAAAAAAAAAGAGATCGTCTAATGGTATGAATCTCTGTAAAATTAACGCGATTTATTAAAAAAAATTTTTATCATCTTATTCCAAATATTCTAAAGTTTTATAACTAATTCAAGTATATTTTCTTTACAGGATAATATGCTCGATAAATCATAAAGATGTTAAACATTTTTATTTTAGAAATATTGAAAATGAGAAAAGAAATTAGGAATTCAGCTTTACCAAATTTATTCAGCTTATATATTGCAGAGTATTTATAAAATAAATAAATTTATAATAAAATTTTTTTTTTATATTTACGAAATAAAAAGACATTAACTTTTTTGAAATACAATTTCATTAAACGCGATTTACATACGCGATTTTTCATAATCAAAAATAAAACGCTTTCTCTAAACCATGAACAAAAACCTAAGTAAGTAGATCATAGTGATATTGTTCCAATATAAAAAAAATGTATAGTTATTTTAAATTTAATTCATTAAAAATAATTAAGACAAATATAATACATTTTATCAATTAAGATTCGAATGTATATGTAAAATAATTTTTTCGATTTATTTCTCTAGAGTCATTAATTTGTAATTTCATTGTAAATTGAAATATGTATATCTTTTTTTTTCTAAAAGAATGATCCTAAATTTGAATAAAAAATGAAATTTAAACCAACAAGATAAGAAAACAGATTAAATAATTATATCAAATAAAGGGCTATGAGCCAGTTAAGTTACTTCAATCAAATAAATTTAAAATACTTTAAACAAATGTTTTGACCTATTTATGAGGTTTATTATCGATGTTATAATATAAAAATCGATTTACACTAATAAAAAATATAACATATATGTAACATTTGACAATTCTTCCAAATAAAAAAAACATGTATGTAGGCAAAAAACCATATTATCTCTTTATGATTTCTATTTTATTCTATCTATATATTAGGGATGTAACGAATATTCGCTTTCGCATCATTTTAGACTTTCGCTTTCGTTTTCGCTTTCGCATCTAATTATGCGAAAGTTTTAACGAAAGATTTTGTCCGGCCCGCGGAATTCGCAGCTTCATCGAGGGCACACTAGATGGTGGAAAAGCAGTTTACATTTCATTCGTTGGTTTGTCAATCTAAATAAGCTAATAAGTAATACTTATTCTTATTAAGTATATAATATAAAAATATAACTAATTCTTAGAAGAATTTTATTTTATATTGACTTAATAAAAAGTGTATTGAGTTATTTTACTTAAAGTTATATGAGTCAGTTTATTTTTTGTATTTACGAGTTGCAATACAAGATTCAAGAATAAGAATACCTATATTTTATTGTATTTTTATATTATATAATTATAATTAATGTATTTTGTATTTTATTTGATAATTTAATTTAAAATAAATAAGTCGTTCATATGCAAATATTAATTTACACATTTGCATTCATCTCTGTTCTCAATCCATGATTCAATAATTTGAATAGGAATTAGCAATATTTTTTAAATATTATATATTATTTTTCGAGAGTCTCTCTGTAATTGTGGCTGATTTAATCATTCAGCAGAAAAAAAAGATCATTCGCATTCGCTTTCGTTTTCGCAAAAAAATTTTTTTTCTTTCGTTTTCGCATTTACTTTCGCTATAATCACTTTCGTTATACATCCCTACTATACATTCCTCTATATTTTCGAATCTCATTATAGACAGGTCATGCGATGATATATCCGTATGTTCAGCTTCCTTAGAGAGTAAAAGTCACACGTTATTTATTTTCATAGTTAAGTCTCTTCAAATCAAAGTCTTTGTCTAATGCCAGGCTTTAAAAAGCCTTTAAGTTTCTTGAGTCCCTGACTCATGGGATCAATTCTAAACAGAATCGTAAGCTCAGAATTTATTCTTGTAAGACAAATAAGAACTCATAACTGATGTTTTATAATTTTATATTACCATAAGATGTACAATCACATTTGTAATATATATATATATATATATATATATATATCTAATAATATATCTATATGATTTCTCGTAAATCTTATGGCTAGTGTAAAGGTATTACATAAAATTATAAACACTTGTCAGTTTTTAGTATTTTAAGAGAATATGTTACGAGCCATACGATTCCGTTTAGAATTTAGATATTAAATCAGAACATCACTCCACACAATATTAGAGCACTGCTCCTTTTAAGTGAAGAGACATATATTAGTCCCTGCAATTACTAGATGGAGCGATATATGTTTTCCTTAAATGCGAAAAGTCACGTATGTGGGGCGCAGACGGAATCGAACCCAGATCCACAGATTACGAGTCGACTGTTCGAGCTTGAAACCACTCGATTCCCCGAACGAAATTTAATTTGAGCTTCATATCAATTATTATAAACAAAAAAGAAACGAAAGCAAATAACGACCTTTAAAGGAAAAACACAACTTTTGTGAAATGATTTTGGTACTTTGAATTAATTGTGTGAAAAATTTGATGAAGCAATTACGCTGAAAGAAAATCCTTAGTCTCTATTTACTTTCTACAAATAGTCTCTATTTACTTTCTATAAATAGTGTATATTATATGTATATTAATGTGAATCTAATGAAGCATATACTCATCCAGTGCCGAGCTTCAAGATATCTAGATTGTAAAATGCTTCATTTATAGATTTTAATCTGCGTTGATTGCATGATTTATTTCCTTGAATAGAGAAATTTAATTAATATCTACATCTCACGTTGGTGAATGTCGGCTCAAGCGTAAATTCTTTCTGACTATTGCTGTCACAGCTTCGTAAAGGTGCCAGAACGAAGCTGTGTAGTGAGAATAAGTTGTCAAACATGAAATATGAACGCAAATTTGTGTACGTAATAGCCAATTTTATCAAACTCCTATACAGTCTGAAGCATACATTAAATCAATACAATTTCTCTCTCTCTCTCTCTCTCGACTCTCTCTGAGACACAAATATTAAATTAATATACAATCTTAGAAGTATCTAAAATTTAAAAAATACAATTATTAATCATTAATTTTTAAATATTAAATTAATGAATCAATATATATTTCAAACAAGAGGGCTACGAGCCATAAATAAACAATTACGAAATAAATAATATTAGAGTATCTAAATTACAATAAAGTTCTCTATAATATAAAAGGTATTTAACCAGTCAGACGTACGTTTCGACTTCTAGTCATTTTCAATAACATTAAACAATAGATTTATCATTTATATACTTAAAATTTTAAAAAGTTTCAAAGATGTTTTTGTTCTAAAGAATGAAAATATTCTCGTCGAAATAATAAAATTGAAAACTTAGAACTTTTTGTAGATACGAAATATTTTAACCAATATAATTAATTAGTACAATTATATCCACTGTTACAATTATTCATTGAAACAAGGAAAGTGTGCGTTAAGCTTAAAGGACGTTATCTAATTCGAAGGAAAGCTGGTGAAATCAGCCGTAATTCGCGCAAAATCTGATTGCACTTGTTCTAAGCCGCAGAAAGATTGATTCCTAATGAGAAATAATAATAAATCGAATCGAATTGATGTCGATTTGACATCAAAATTATCAATTCGACGTCGATTCTATTGTCATTTCTCACTAGGATTATAGGCTGCGGAACGTATAACTGCGTACATTAGATAGGGATTGAAACGAGAACGAATAAGTGATAATTACATCGATACGTTCACGTTAAGAAATATCATGATGTCATGTGAGCTATGCAGGATATTTTGCATATTACAGAATAATGTAATCGCGATGCAAGAATGTTCACGTTACGCTAAAACACGTACATCCTAAATAAAAATATTGAACTATCCGCGCGGGTATTATGAAGAAGTTTCTTATGCCAATTCCACGAATGTAGATTACCTAATCCCGATTTAACTTAATGATTTGATTTTATTCTTCATTTTTTTAATTTTAGAAATAAAAAAAGATGAAAAGTATACATAATTTGAGTCAAGATTAAAATTGATCTACTTAGTAAAAAACGAAAGTTTAAAATTAAAAAAAAAAATTGAAATTTTAAAAGAAAAAAGTTATTTTGATCAAGCTAAAATCAATATATAATATATAAGTTACAGATCAAGTTTTTGTTGTATAAGGAAAATTCCACATGATATTAGATATAAGTCGTATCTATATCGTGAAGTTGGTCACGTAGCATCAGGCGCATTGTTTGAAGATCTTCTACCCCTCCTTTATTAAAGAGGATCTCCACCTTAAAAAAGTGGAAAGAATATCGTATAACTTTCCTTATTTTTTGACATATAGGAGCACACAGGATAGAAATTAAATGCCATTGCCATCTTATAAGAAATAAATAATAAATAAAATTTATAAGCAATAAAACTATAATTTATTATTAACAATATTTTTTAAAATTTTTAAATTTTTTATTTTTTTATTATAAAAATATATATTTATGTAAAAAGTGTTGAACAAAAATTGTTTATAATAATTATTTAATAATTATTTAATCTAATAGAAACGAGATAACAGAGTAGGTCTTATATTCAGTTATAAGTTGGTCATTAAAGAGAGTAGAAAACAGAACTATACCTTATAATATAATTAATAAGTAAAAATGTCATAGAAAAGATATAAAGATCGGTTTATTACCGAAAATAATGCTAAAAAGAAAGCGACGCGGGGAAAAAGAAGAGTGATTATTATTTCCATGAAAGGAAATCTATTAATCAATTATAGTAGTTATATGTGTCACACGTAATATGATTTCATGTAAGTTTCATATAAAAATAATATGGTAAAATTTCAATATTTTATTTTGAAATGTTCTTTAAACTCTATTCTTTTATATATATAATTTTAAATTTTTTTATATTTTGTTTTCGAATAAATTATACTTAAAACCCTCTTTCTCATAAAGGATGTAAGGTATTTAAAAAAATTATTCAAAAGAAAACTATACGGTAAAAAAATTTTTTTTATTCAGGAATGCCCCTATTTTTATAACAATTAAACTTATTCTCAAAATTTGATCAAATTCCTATACTACCTGTATCAACTGGAGAATCACTTAATCATAATCGCTATAAGTACATGCATCGTCTATATACAATACATGTCGAACTGATATCGAATTTATCGAAATTATATTGCTTGATAGTTTAAATATACAATTAATGTAC